CCACGGCGATAATCCATTGCAAAAAAGACCACACAGAGCACACGCGCGCGTTCATGTCAGAATCCTACCGAACACCGTGTGTTTGCAAGCATTTCAACATAAAAACATCAAAAACCCAATGCTTTTTTCACAAAGATTGTACAACTTTCCCGCCCGGGCTCTCTTGCTGAAATCATAGGAAAACCATAGGAATCTTAAGAATTCGGTCAAATCCAGCGATTTCACGTCATCGCGCGGTGCACTCGCGATGCTCTGTCATGGACCCAGGCCGCGAATCCTGTGCAAAAAATGCAACAAAGAGCACACTCGCGCGTTCATGTCAGAATCCTACCGAACACCGTGTGTTTGCAAGCATTTCAACATAAAAACATCAAAAACCCAATGCTTTTTCACAAAAATGCTTCGGGGTGTCCTGTCAGACCGTCGGGTTTCCTCCGGCCACCTCTGGCTTCCTGCGGTGTACCGGGCCATTCTCGACTCGTCTGGCAATGCGTGCGCGGCATTCAACACGCGCTCGCCAGTTCCCGTCGGCAACCGCCATCGCGGCCGCATCAGCTGTACCAAACCGGCTGGCCGGTGTGACTTCGGCCCCCAGTTGTGCCAGCTTTGCTTCTTATGTTGTGGGAGGGCGGGTGGTACTGGGCATGCCATGCTTGACTCGCTCGAGCTGGCTAGCTTGACTCCTACTCCTACTCCTACTCCTACTCCTACTCCTACTCCTACTCCTACTCCTACTCCTACTCCTACTCCTACTCCTACTCCTACTCCTACTCCTACTCCTACTCCTACTCCTACTCCTACTCCTACTCCTCCCTCCCTCCCTCCCTCCCTCCTCCCTCCCTCCCACTCCCTCCCTCCCTCCCTCCCTCCCTCCCTCCCTCCCTCCCTCCCTCCCTCCCTCCCATCCCTCCCTCCCTCCCTCCCTCCCTCCCTCCCTCCCTCCCTCCCTCCCTCCCTCCCTCCCTCCCTCCCTCCCTCCCTCCCTCCCTCCCTCCCTCCCTACCTCGCTCCCTCCCTCCCTCCTCCTCCTCCTCCTCCTCCCCCTCCTCCTCCTCCTCCTCCTCCCCTCCTCCTCCTCCTCCTCCTCCTCCTCCTCTCCCTCCTCCTTCTGCTCCTCCTCCTCCTGCCGTCCTCCTCCTCCCCTCCTCCTCCTCCTGCTGGCTCCTCCTCCTCCTCTTCCTGCTCCTCCTCCTCCTCCTCCCCTCTCCTCCTCCTCTGGCTTCCTCTGCCCTGCCCCTACACCTCCACCTCCCTCCTCCTCCTCCTCCTCCTCCTCCTCTGCCTCTCCTCTGCTCCTCTGTCTCCTCTTGCTCCTCTGGCCTCCTCTGGCTCCTCTGGCTCCTCCTCCGCCTCCTCCTCCTCCGCCTCCTCCTCCTCCTGCTCTCCTCCTCCTCCTCCTCCTCCTCCTCCTCCTCCTCCTCCTCCTCCTCCTCCTGGTCCTCGGGTCCTCGTTTTTCTCCGCGTTCCTCCGCTTTGCCCCCCCCCCTCTCTCTCCCCCCCTCCTTCTGGGCGCCATACCAGGTGCCGATGATCGGGCGCGCGGGGGAGTAGAAGTCGTAGCCGCTGGTCCACAGCCGCGCCCCACGCCCGAACTCCTCACAGGGGTGTCCTCCTCCTGCTGCTCCTCCTGTCGCTCCTCTTCCGGTTGCTCTCGCTGACCGTGCTGCTCCCGCCCGTCCTGCCGCTCCCCTCTCGGTGGCTCTCGCTGCACCCTGCCCGGTCCAGGCCCGCAAGGAAAGGAATTACTTCGACGGAAGGACCCCACATGAGAATCCTCTGGGCGAATTTGGAAAAAACCCTCACCGTCGTCCTCGTGGTTGGTGAAGCGTCCTGGTTGTCTCTTCTGCGTATATTTCTTCTCGCCCTGGCGCGGGGATACGTGCCGGGAATAGCGCTTTGGGAACACGACGAACACAAAATGGGCTACAGTTGGCTCCGGACATTCAGAATGTGGCCCGGGAATGGTGTTCTGGGAGCACGAAGAACACGAAATGGCCTACAGTTGGCTCCGAGCATTCAAAATGTGGCCCGGGAATGGCGTTCTGCCAGCGCGAGAGCCCAGAAGTGGCGACAGTTAAAAGAATTGGATGACCCGCTCGGATTAATAACATGATCCGCGGGCCCCATAGGAAGGGGGCTCCCGCTTGAGACTTCCTCGCAATTCACTCACAGACGAAGCCCATGTGGCCTGGGAATGGCGTTCTGGCAGCGCGAGATCCCAAAAGTGGCGAGATTTATAGGAATTGGATGACCCGCTGAGATTAGTAACATAATCCGCGGGCCCCATAGGGAGGGGGCTCCCGCTTGAGACTTCCTCGCAATTCACTCACAAACGAGGCCCATGTGGCCTGGGAATGGCGTTCTGGCATCGCGAGAGCCCAAAAGTGGCGACAGTTAGAAGAATTGGATGACCCGCTCGGATTAGTAACATGATCCGCGGGCCCCATAGGGAGGGGGCTCCCGCTTGAGACTTCCTCGCAATTCACTCACAGACGAGGCCCATGTGGCCTGGGAATGGCGTTCTGGCAGCGCGAGAGCCCAAAAGTGGCGACAGTGTCAGGAATTGGATGACCCGCTCGGATTAGTAATATAATCCGCGGGCCCCATAGGGAGGGGGCTCCCGCTTGAGACTTCCTCATAATTCACTCACAGACGAGGCCCAAGGCGAGTGAGTGACCATCATCATCATCATCATCATCATCATCATCATCATCATCATCATCATCATCATCATCATCATCATCATCATCATCATCATCATCATCATCATCACCATCACCATCACCATCACCATCACCATCATCATCATCATCATCATCATCATTTGCGAGTGCTGATGAGTGAGTGAGTGAGTGAGTGAGTGAGTGAGTGAGTGAGTGAGTGAGTGAGTGAGTGAGTGTGTGAGGGATGATGAGTGAGTGAGTGAGTGAGGAATGAGTGATGATGATGATGATGATGATGATGATGATGATGATGATGATGATGATGATGATGATGATGATGATGGTGGGTTCCTGTTCCTGCGCGGGGTGTCCAGAGAAAACAAGAACACCCACTTTGGATGTGGGGAAAAAACGATAAACAGTGGGCGATCGCGACAATCACTAACACCACACCTGGATTTCAAGAGCACTCATCCTCTCCCCCCTCCACCCCTTCCCCCCCCCCCTCCCCCGCTCCCCCCGCCCCCCTCCCTCCCCCCCTCCCCCCCCTCCCTCCCCCACCCTCCCTTGCCTCCCTCTCTGCCTCCCTCCCCTACCCCTACCCTCCCTCCCCTACCCTCCCTATCCTCCTGCCTCCCTGTCCCCCCCCCCTCCCTCACCTGCCCCCCTCCCCCCCCTCCCTTGCCCACGCGTTCGACCATCAGCCACGTGCTGCCAGTGGGCCCTGGGTGGTCTTCGGCGGCCGCCGGTCTCCGGCGACCTTCTGACGGCCTGCTTCGCGGAAAGCTGGATGGCTGCGTTCAGCACGGGGTCCATGCTCGATCACTAGACGAGCGCGTTCCACTACGCGCAAAGTAACTACTCGCAAATGGCCTGGATTCGCCACAGGGGATCTACGATAAATTACCTCAAAGCCGACATCTGTTTTTCGGACGTTTGCGAGTAGGCACTTTGCGAATAGTGAAACGCGCTCGGTGAATCACCTACGGTCGGACCTACGACAGAGAAAACATCCTTCAACAACATGAGATCCTCCGCCAGCCCAAACTGAAGAACATTCGAGGGTGCCTTCTTCCAGGATGCGCAAGAGCATCCAACGAACACGGAGAACATTAGAATACCCTCCCCGAACCGACCTCGACCTTATTCCTTCGTCCGACCGTGATGTGGCCTCTCACCGACCGTGCTTTCTCTCACCGAGCCGCATATGTACACGGTCGGCTATACGCAAGAGTGCCTCTTGGCAGGAGTGATCTTCGGTACGCGGCTCTGGCCCCTGCGGGCCCGCAAAAACAACATAACATCTGCATGACCATAAACTTTCGGAACCCCGCGCGGATTCCACGGATCCGCGCTCCCAGCTCCCTCCCCCCTCCCTGGCGCGCGGAGCACGCCGGGGGCGGCGCCAGAGGAGCCGCCAGGGGCGCCCGGCGCAGGTCCGAGAAAACCGCGCGGGGCCCAGAAACATTTGAAGGGGAACTGGGACACACAAATAAATACACACAAATAAAAGGATTCCCCCATATTTTCGCACATTTTGTGGGTTTTTGTCTTCCCCCCCCCCCACTTCCCATATCTTCCCGTATTTTCTGGGAATCGCCGATTAATTGTGTCTGTGTGCTTTTTCCCCTCCTGAACATTGTGCACACGGAAGGCTCGCTGCGTGCCGACCTCGGCGCTGGCCTCTGACGCCGCGGGGATCGTGCAAGCCCCGAACGACCGGCCGCTCCCGAGACGGCTGCCCGCCCCACAGCGACCACTCCTGGGGGCCGCCCGCGGAGCTCCGCGCGGAGTGCCCGCGGCAGGTCGCCGCTGGTCGACACGACGCGACACTGCGGGGCCGCTTCTCCTTCCCTCCTCCTCCTCCTCCTCCTCCTCCTCCTCCTCCTCCCCCCCTCTCCTCCTCCTCCTCCTCCTCCTCCTCCTCCTCCTCCTTCTTCTCTTCTTCTTCCTCCTCCTCCTCCTCCTCCTCCTCTCTCCTCCTCCTCCTCCTCCTCCTCCACCTCCTCCTCCTCCTCCTCCTCCTCCACCTCCTCCTCCTCCTCCTCCCTCCTCCTCCTTCCTCCTCCTCCTCCTCCTCCTCCTCCTCCTCCTCCTCCTCCTCCTCCTCCTCCTCCTCCTCCTCCTCCTCCTCCTCCTCCAGTCGGCCTTGATTGGACAGGACACGCGAGAGGACACAAGACCCTCCGAGGGCCACATCGCCACAGGAGTGCAAGAAGGCACGTGCCACGAGGCACAGGACACAAGGGTGCCCTTGAGCTGGCAGGGTCGACCCACTAATCTGGGCCGACTGTATCGCCCTCAGCCGCCGCGGCCGCCCCCGGCGCCCCACCGCTCCTCCCCGGTGAAGATGTGCATCAGGTTCGGGTCGGCGGGCACGTCCCGCTCCGCGTGGCACTTGCTGAAGCTCAGGCCCGCGGCCTGGGGGCGTTACAAAATGGGGGGGGGCGATGAATGGAGGGGCGAAGACGCGTGCACTTTTCGTGCCCCCTTCTGTAGAAGCCTCCCGAAGGGGGTCCCAGCAGGTGTGGTCGGCAGATCCCGCCGCACCGACGATGCAGTGCCGATTCGGTCGTGTGGAGAGAATCAACCTCCACGTCGAGCCGCATCGGCGATGCATCGGCGATGCGGCGCGATCCTTCGACCCCATCTGCTCGGACCCCATCTGGGAGGTCTGGACTTGGGGCCCCAGGGGGCCACTTTGGGGCCCCGGAGGTGCACGAGAGGTGCACCTTCTTCTTCACTCCCCCCGCTTGTCGCCCCCCCTTGCGCAACGCCCGACGGCCCAGAACTTCGTGAGCGCCGGGCGCGTGAGGCCCGCCACCGCCGACGCCTCTCCGGCGGCGCGCCCGGGGGCTGGCCGTGCAGGATCGGCCAGCACCGAATCGGGAAGAACGGATCGGAGCAGAACGTAAGTCGGATCGGGCCGCATCGGCACGGCGTCGGAATCGGATCGGATGGGCCGCGCCAGGACGCACGACAGGGCCATGCGAGCGACGGGCGCAACGCCATGCAAGCGACGGGCGGTCTTGACACGCCTGGAGTGGGTCGGGAAGAAATGGGTGCAATGCCCAACAGCAAATGTTGTCCAGTCCAAATCCCCGCGGTCGCTGTTGGGCAGGCAACCTTTGTCTCAAGTGGACATCGTCCGCGGCGACACCGACAGCGGTTCCTGTTCAACATGGGCAGGATTTGCCACTTCCCGGACCTCTCCTGGGGTGCGTTCTGACCAAAATATCGAGGCGGATCTAGCGGTGGCGACGAAGGCCTTCCAGAAGGCCCCAAAAGGGGGAAACGAGGGAAGGATACCGGTATAGGTACCTTGCACTCATCTGACGATGTGTAGTCGTCGTGATCGCCGCGGTCCCTGGAAGTCCCGACCCCTTTCCCTGGGACCAATTTCACATCCTGAATGCTTTTCACGGTCTCGGGGCCCGGTGAAGGCCCCGGGAGGCAGAAGACAACCAAAAACCTGCCGCCCATCACGACGAGCGAGCATGTCTGGATTCGTGGCCGCCGCGATCGCAGAGGCGAAACCGGTACAGCGGGACCAGGGACAGAAAAGTTTCCTTCAAGAATATGAAGCCAAAACGCCCCACACCATGAGATCACCGAAGGTACCCTATGCACAAAAACATACGACAAGCACGAAGAACGCCAGGGTGCCCTCCCCGAACCGACCCCGATCTTGCACCTCGTCGCTCCGGCCACAATGTGGCCCCTCACCGACCGTGCTTTCTCTCATCGAGCCGCAGGCTGATGCGGTCGGCTACACGCAAGAGTGCTCCCAGGCTTAAGTCGGGCCTGTCCTCCTACATGGGAGTTTTGGACGAAAAATACAAGACAGTCCAAGAGTACCCCCAAACATGGCCAAACAAGTGCTCCAAGAAATCGCCCCCAGACTACTCGGTGACCATCCTTGCAGAATTCCTCCTGCAGAGGGACAGGCCCGACCCAATTCCCAGGCAGAAGGGACCTTCGGCACGCGGCTCTGGAGGGCCGCACCGCATCGGATCGACCAGCTCGCGGCGGACCCTGCCGTGCGGGGCGAGCGGGGCGAAAGGGGGGGATAGCAAAGGGGGGGTTTGAGAATCAGCTCACGCAGCTGATTCTTCCGGCGCCTCCCGGCGCCGGGAGCGGCCATGCATCGAGGAATTGGCCCCTCGGTGAGGCCGAAACCAGCTCCATGCAGCAAATTTCGTAACCCCCCCTTTCCCAATCCCCCCCTTTCGCCCGACCCGAGCGGGGCGAGCGGGGCGCCCGTCCGTGCAGCAGGCGCGCGAGCGGGCGCCTCCCCCCGTGGCGGGAGCTCCGGAGGCCCCGGGAGCTCCCGCGCCGCGGCTCTGCCGGCCGCTGAGCGCCGGAGCTCGAGGCTGAAGGCCCGCGGGGCCCGCTCGCGTGGGGCCGCCACCACTTGCCGGGGGCAGGACGGAGGAGAAGGGAAGGACGGGGAGGCCCCTCTCCTCCTCCAACTCCTCTTTCTCCTCCTCCTCCTCCTCCTCTTCTTCTTCCTCCTCCTCCTCCTCCTCCTCGTCCTCGTCCTGGTCCTTGCTCCTCCCTCTCCTGCTTGTGGTAGTGGTGGGAAATCGGCCCATCACGTTTTTCGGGCGAGTCCTGGCCGACCCCCAGCAAGCCATCACCTTCCGCGACGCCCTCGCCTCTCAAGCTATGCTCCGGCCGCACACGTTCGCACTGGGGCGAGGCGAGCGGCTAATTGGTGAAAGATAAGAGCAAGCGGGAAAAGTTAGGCTTCGCTTAATGTTAAAGTGGCGCGAAAACGTCATTAAACAATCGAGCCAAAGCAATACTAATTCTAAATCAATTGCAAATCAAGAGAAACATTATATATATATATATATATATATATATATATATATTGTAGTGGCCTTCGGCCAGTGCCGCCGATCCGGGTCGCTCGGGGTTATTCTCCAGACGCAGACATCATGGGCGCACACTCAAACGCACACACGCAGTCACACCACCCAACCCGCGCCGCAGACATGGGGGCCTGTCAGGGCGTCCTGGGGGGCTTCTCGGAGACTTTTGGGGGCCCTTTTGGGAGCTCTTAGGCGTCTGGGGGCGTTTTTTGGGGCATCTTAGGGGCCTGTCAGGGCGTCCTGGGGCGCTTCTTGGAGGCTTTTGGGGGCCCTCTTGGGAGCTCTTGGGGCCTCCGCTTTTTCCGCTTTTCGTCCCTCTTTGGGGTCTTCTTGGGGACGCTTGGGGGGGCTCTTGGGCCGTCACCCCGCATCCGCCGGAAACTCGCACCCCCCCTCCCCCCCCCATCCCCCCTTCCCCGGCAGAGCCACCCGGGCAACCCCCCCAGAGGCTGAGGCTCAGCCTCGAGGCTGTAGCTGAGACTCCTTGAAACTCACACGCCGGATCGGCGGATATACATCATATCCAAACATAACCACACTAGGGATGGTCTGCGGTCGGTTAGGCCGCCCCTGAGTTTCCGGGGGCGGGGCCATGACACAAGTGATTCCCGGACGAACAACTACTGTCAAGAGTTCCCTCCCTTTTGCATCGAGCGACTCGACGCCTGAACGCACTGCGCGCACAGTGACATGTTCACACTTTACCCTCATACATCTTGACGGTGCCTGACGCCGTTCCTCCGCGGTGCCCTCTTCTTCGCGCTGCTGGCTCTCTGTTGCTGCGCTTTGGAAGCGAAGGACAAGACCAACCTCGTAATCGACTGCACCACGTTGGGCAAGAGCGAGTGCGCATCAACGACAGAGTGCGCGTGGCCAGCGGGTCACAGCGGGTGTTTGACACCTCCTGCCACTCCGCCGACCTTGACACCGCCCTGAAGCGTCTGAGTAAGGCGTTCATCGTCTGCGGCGTGCTCTGGTACCCCTTCTGCTCTGAACTACGGTTCAGAACTTTTGCATCGTCGCCCCGGCGGCCTCGGCGACACGCTATGCCCTGCGAGGCGATAGCGTGTGGCTCCACTCCGCGGGGCGGGAGGCTCGGAAAGGTTCGGGACGCTGAAGCCTGCATGCCACGACATGGGTCGCGTGTCGCGCCGAGCCGTGGTGGCCTATAACCGGCGGGGCGACGCCAAACGTTCCCGACCGTACCCCCCGGGGAAGCGGTCGGGACCTCTGGGGCCGCGGGCTGAAGAGATCGGATCGGCGGGTGTCAGGGAGCGGGCCCTCGAGGAAAGGTTGAGCAGGGCTGGGGGGTCAGGCCTGCAGAACCACGCCAGCAGGGCGTCGAGGGGCGCGGCCGACCTGCCTGGTCCGGCTGGAACCGATGCACCACAGTTGGGGGCGTCCAGCCAGGAACTTTGGACACGTGAGCGAGCGGCCGGACGCTGCACACCTCCGTCGGCTGAGCCGGCGAGGCGCGCGTGACCACCGCGGTGAGGAAGAGAGGAGGAGGAGGAGGAGGAGGAGGAAGAGGCGGAGGAGGAGGAGGAAGAGGAGGAGGAGGAGGAGGAGGAGGAGGCGGAGGAGGAGGAGGAGGAGGAGTTCGTCGGCTGAGCCGGCGAGGCGCGGTGACCACCTCGACGCCCCTTGTCTGGGGTGCTCCTGCAGAGGACGGCGCTCTCCGAGCCTCGGCCCTGCTCGAGGGACGTGGGGACCCGGACTTGCCCTCCACGGGCGGGCGCCAGGCTTACGTCGGGCCTGTGCCCCTACAGGGGGAATGCTGGACGAAGAATTCAAGATACCCCCCAAAGTGCCCCCAAATGGTTAACAAAATACTGCAAAAATCGTCCCCTGACTATTTTCTTAACTAATTTTGAATATTCCCCCTGTAGAGGGACAGGCCCGACTTCACCCCAGGCTGTGAAGAGCACGACCCGGGAGGGAGCGGGTCCCGGGGAAGACTGCGAGCTGCAGGGCCCGCTGGCCCCCAGGGATCCCTCTCCCTGCCCTGTCGGAGGGGATCCGGGGGGCTCCTGAGACAACGTCTCGGGCAGAGCAGTGCGTTTCGTAACAACGCGCAGTAGCACGCTCAGTATGCAACTTCTTAGGACACATGTCCTTAGTACGTTTGCGAGCCGTGGCACACTCGTCCTCGGCAGGAAGGTGCAACGGTCGCTGTTCCGAAAGCTGCTCGCCTTCACCTGGCAACGAGAGGGAGGAGAGTGTCCACCGTGACACGGGCGCAAGGAGTTCTGAATTCATTTTAAAACCGTTCTATACATGCCATCATTCATACAGTTGCGGAGTCGTGGGGAATTCCCTCGCCAGAACATCCGTCTTTTGTTCCGCAGCCTATTAAGAAGAAGAAGAAGAAGAAGAAGAAGAAGAAGAAGAAGAAGAATAATAAGAAGAAGAAGAAGAAGAAAAAGAAGAAGAAGAAGAAGCACGCCGAGGCGGACCAGTCTCGTGACTAACAACTCGGCCCAGCAGGGCGGCGCTCTTAGGGCACAAATTTACCCATTACCGCTTTCGCCACCTGCTGAGCCCTCCAGCGACCTTGCCAGCTCCCGCTGGCGCACTCTCTCCTGGAGCGCAGCAAGCCTCGATTCGCACTGGTACGCTGAGGCTGGATTCGGCCGAGTGGAGACGCTTGTCGTCTCTCTCAGAGGGGCGCGACGTGTGGGCGCCACTCGGTCGGCAGGTATCGCACACTCGATAGACCGCTGGAGCTTTCGATGGGGGCCAACGCCCTTCCGCAGCCTATTAAGAAGGCTGGCAGGGGGGGCAAGAGCGGGAACAATAGTACCAATGCTGGTACTCCCCGGACCTCTCCAGGGGTCCGTTCTGTTATCGGCAGCGTGCGAGGGGGGAATTAAGGAGAAGTTCTTCTCAGAAGGCGGCGGCGACTGGAACTTTCGAGCCTTCTGAGAATGCCCGCCCCTTCTGAGAAGGACTTCTCCTTCTCAATTCTCCCCTTGCTCGCCACCGATGCCAAGAATCTTGAAGCGCATCCACTCCGTGGCGGCGACGGAAATCGGTACGTACCCTTTCCTCGTCTCACTGCTGCCCCCACCCTCTCTCCCTCCTCCCCTTCTTCGTCTTTTCACTCTCGCCT